CATTCTGTTGGGTCACCTTTCTTTGGGATAGGAACAAATACAGACCTCTTCCAGTCAGTTGGCCAAGTGGTTGTTCTCCAGATTTCTTGGCATAACTTGGTGAGCACATCCAGGGATTAGTAGTTGGAAAATATAAGCTTGGTGATAGAAACAATGTTTGGAGATTGTACCATAGAATTTTGCAGGACTTATTCCTTGCAAAAGCCTTTTTAAAACAACATGAACATTGACAACACATGTGGGCCTGGCCATATGAAATAGAATGGAATCAGATTGACTGCATCTGTGGAAAGATTCTGGACAAGCTCCCTATATCATCAGTGAGAACAAAGCTAGACGCAGAACAGACCATCAGATGCTCAGTTGCAAGTTCAAGCTGATGCTGAAGAAAATTAAAACAAGCTCATAAGAGCCAAAGCTCACTTTGAGTGTATTCCACCTGAATTTAGAGACCGTTTGAATGGATTTGACACTATGAACACGAATGACCAAAGACCAGAGAAATTGTAGGATGATACCAAAGAAACAAGACCCACTCATTAATTAGTAATTACAGCAAATTTATTTCAAAAGGACAATGAGTATAATTTTTCAAAGTTTTTCACATTAAAAAAAGAGGAAAGTGATTGTGTCTTAGTCCGACTGACAGGAAGTGGTCCTGGGACTCCAAGAATAATGTTTGCTTTTGTTATTGCTTTTCTAAAGCTCCCAGCGCTGAGGGTGGAGGGTGCCCACGGAAGCTGGAGCAGCGGGGCTCACTCCCACCTCAGCCTCTCTCTGGAGCCTCTGCGGGTCCTCACTGCTCGCCAAAGCTCAGCCTAGCACCTCAGGCCCCCCATTTATTCCAGGGGGCCTCTGGGCAGGCCCATGCCGAGCTGTGCACTCTCGGAATCCGCGCAGCCGCAGACACACACTGCAGAGGGTCCTCCTGTCCGTCTGTCCCCAAAACTGCAATAGGAGCTCCCCCAGTACGAGCACCAGGTCCCCTCGCCCTCCCTGGGGATCCAGTTCGGCTCAGCCACTAGGACCACAGGCGACAGATGGTCACCCATGGACACGCCCCCCCTTGGGCACTGGGCTAGCTCTGAGGGTGTCTCTGGCGATAGCTCAGCAGGGACATGAATGTGACACCCCCTAGGACTGGAGATCGGTTCAGGGGGGTCTCCAGCAGCAGCTCAGGTCTCTCTCGGCGCCCCCCTCCCCCATTCCACCCGAGGTTAGGGGACTGTCACCCAGCAAGGTGCATGGGGGGAGGTGGCAAAGCCACCTGCCTGGACCAGACGCCTTTACATCTCCCAGGGAGATGTGAGGAGTCGGGAGCCGCGGGTGGGCCGGGGTCTGCCGAGCCGGGGGCGTTGTCCCCCAGATGGGAGGGGAAGAAGGCGTGGCACGACCCTCTGTCCCCGCCCCAGGGGTGGAGCTTGATGGAAGCCTGCAGAACCAGAGACTCCGCTGAGTGTCTGCCGGGGGCTGCCTTCCCGCGCCTGCTGTCCCCACTCCGCTCGGTTCCAGGAGCCCCGAGTCCCCAGTCTACTCCTGCCGTCCCCAGGACCCAGCGTGGGGGTCTCTAGTCCTCGGCCCCGCGTGGGTGCAGGGGCGGCTTCCTTCCTCCCCCGGGCGCCTCCCGCTATTGCAGCCATGGCGCGGGGAGAAGACCCGCAGGATAGGTAAGTGGGGAGCAGATGGGGTGCGTGCGGGAACCCGGGGGCAGACAAGGGGGCCGCTGCCTTCGAAGGCTCCAAGGCGCGCAGAAGACCGCACGGAACTACAATTCCCATCAGCCCTCCGCCTGGGCCGCCTGGGCGGGGGTGATGGGTGTTGTAGTCTGCTCTCCAGAGGGGGCGCCTGGGAAGCGGGAAGAGCGGCCGCGAAGTCCTCGGGGTGACCTTCTGCCTGATCCCCACAGCTACCACCTGGTCGGGATCAGCTTCTTCATCCTGGGCCTGGGCACCCTCCTCCCCTGGAACTTCTTCATCACTGCGATCCCGGTGAGACCCGCTGCGGAGTGACAGCCAGCCCACGGCCCCAAAAGCCATGAGGACTGTGGCCGTGGACTTAAGGACCCGGCCTTCCCCCC